TGGTTACAAACTTTTTGGTTAGTACCGTTTAGGTACGTACATGTGAATATAATAATGTAGTTTTCATGTTGACATTTTCTTTGATTGATATTTGTCAAGAATAGTCCTAATTTAATAGGTCTTGTTAATGCTACATACTTGCATTTTTTTTTTGTTATTGAGGTGATTTGGTTGCTTTTTTAGTGTATGCACTTGTAAGATGCCCCTTAAAAATGTTAATGTTAGCTTCCTGTATTTACAGGGTTTCATTCATTTGACCGAGGCCAAATTCATAAAGATCTTTCGCTATTTCCTAACAACAACAATTTTAACCAATGGAGCACAAAACTTTATTCATTCTCTAGTAACAAGGGCAACAGTTTGAGGTTTGAATCGAGATGTTTGTGAAAGCAACGAACTTAAAATACTCAAGGTTGAAACGTAGGTATATTTTACCAATTGTTATATATTGAGAAGCCTATCCAATTTAAATCATTCTTATGATTACAAAACGTATGGAGTGTAATATGAACAGAGACCCCCACACATTTCCCCCCACCCCGATGTCATTGAATGTATGGATATGATTGATAGTTCGATCGGGGAGAGATTAAAAGAAGGGACCAACAATTGAATATCATTCTTCTCTCTTGGGACAACACAAGAGTTTAATGGAGTTGTCTACCAGTCAATGGCGGCTTGCTAAGGACATAATGTAGACGAGGGTTAAAAGATAACTGAAATAGGAAAAGATGAGCTGGCGCATGCCAATAAGGCGGAGAAATGGGTTATGAAGAACTATTCTATACTCACCATATATGAGGAAGTGAATTTCTACGACCTCCAATGTTACGAACACATAGTTTAAGGTATCCAAAGCCTTTTTTGCAATGATGGGTCACGTCCTGTAAGTTTGTATACCCTCTCTATATACACGAGATCATTGATCCACCTTAATTAATCATGTATGATCTAGTCTATAACGAACTTTAATATAAAAATAGTTCATTTAAACTAACATTAGACAAATTTAATTTTTTTTCCATGTTTATTGTCGATAATAATGATTGTTTAAGCGTGGTTCTCCAAAATTACAGTGAATCGACCTTTGAAGCTAATTTTGTCGTCATGATTATCGTATCATATTGAAAAACCTTGTTACAGGGGTATTGTTTTTGCTAATGTAATTGACACGCGACCTCTTTTGCTTAATGATAAAGAATTAGAAGCCATTTGTATTTTCTGGCTTAAAATTTATAATCCTTATTCAAGCAGTAACATCATTTTGAATATATTCAATCTGAATTGGAATTTTCTCCATTCCAATTATTGTGAAGAGACATCTACAATCATTAGTCTTTGACAGTTTATTTGTGAAAATGTTTGTATAGCCAAAAAAGGACCGTATTTAAAATCGGGTTAAGTTCTAATTGTTCAAGTTGACTCTGTGATAATACGGTCAGCTAAGCCTTATTTGGCTACTCCACGTCGCTCCACTTGCTTAAAGGCAGGAGGGCAACCAGCTCGACCAACGGGAGAGGGAGAGTGAAARGAGCACACTTCTCGACTAAGGCAATCTCATCTAAAAACTCAAGCTCAACTTGCCGGTCTGAAAAGAGGCTTAACATTCGGACATATCTTTTCGATTGTTCTCATTGCTAAGCAATCCAACTCAAAATACCAATGTAAATTTTCATATTTTTTAGATTATTTATAGAAAATGTCATTCTAGTTTAGATAGGCATGAGAATGAGATGGGGACCTCAATCACCGTCCCCATGCCTAAGTTTAGACATTTGATTTTTCTTATTTAACGGTGGTTGAGAGGTTTTCACAATTTATTTTATTTTTTTTCTTAAACCTTTGTATATGCAAGGGTGGACCTATGATGCGCTGAGCGGGCCCCATGCACCTACCTAACTGATTTTCATAAATAATTTTTATTGTATGAAATGTGTAACTGCTAAATTTTGAGAGGTCCTCAGAGATATCAACAAATAAAGGAACATCAACAAAAAAACCAAAACAATCTCTCGAAATCAACCATAAAAATCAAAATCACTTGAAATGGAATTTGGCTTAAAACACGTCAGATGATTTGCGACTTTTGATCCAGCTTAAAAGTGTACCAGCAGTTAAAAATCCTGGACCCACCACTACGGGGTGTTTGAGATTGCTTATGCAAAAAAACTTGTGCTTTTTTATAAACGTGCTAATCAACTTATGTTTGTGTTAAACCAGAGTTTTATAAAAAGTATTTTGATTAACTTATGATGATACTAAAACGTAATAAGCTTATAAATACATATTTTTTCTATCAAACATTAAAAACTTTTACCGGTACCACACCAGAATAAATCAATATATATATTAAAGAAGAAACCATAAGTGTTTGAGGTGGCCTCACCTAAAACCTAGAACTCCATTTATCTTTTTTCTCCTTCAATTCTCTCAATATCCACTACTATATTTTTTTTTTGTTAATTTATGTTTTTTTGTTAAATGTTTGCATTCAACTCCAAACCATTCATCTTCTCTATATTAATTCTAATGACATAACTCCAAACCATTCATCTATTCTCATCAATCATTTATATATATATATATATATATATATATATATATATAAACAACAACTATTTATTCATCTTCATCTCTCACGCCCTCTCAAATTCTATCTCTATCCTACATATCTCTAAATTTATTTTTTTTCTCTTTGGTTTTTCTTCTATTTTACTATTGATAATCTTCATATTTTTTTTTTGTTTTTTCACTTCTCCCATAATTTTATGTATGTTTGTATCGTTATTTAGATTGTATCATAGTTTTTATGCATTATGTCATGAAGATTTGAAGAAGTATTCAAGTTCAATATTTGATTTTTTGGTTGCAATATAAGGTAATAATTTTATATTGATTTGTTTCATGATTTTGATTGCATTATAATTTTATTTATGTTTGTATCGTGATTTTTGTTTGCATTATAACTCTTATGTATTAGGTGAAGATTTAAAATGTTCAAGTTCACTATGTAATTTTTATTTATGTTGAACGTTTTTTTGTTTTGCAGGTTTTCAAGTTCTTTAACGTTTATATATCAAGTCTTGAAAATTTGAAGTTTTCAAGTTTGGGTTGTTGGAATTTTTTATTATGATCTAAGGTAAGGATGTTATGCAAGTTTGTTTTGTAATTAAGAGTGTATTAGAATGTTATGTATATTTGTATCATGATTTTGATTGGATTATATTTTTAAGTATGTTATAATCGTAAGTTTAATCGTATTATAATTTTATGTATGTTCATGTTGTGATTTTGATTGCATTATAATTTTATCTATTGGGTTATAAACATTTGGAGTCTTTAAGTTTGGTATGTGATTTTTTACATATCGTATGATTGGTTCATTCACTATTGTGTTCTTAAAGTCAATGTGTGTGTTGATGATGAAAAATGGTACATGTACATCATCATTTAAAGGAGACATATCTTTATGTGGAGTATTTTTTTACTCTTAAGTTTGTGTTAGATTTCTTAATATTCCCGTCGTTATTATTACTCATTTTATTTAGTTTTACAATTTTATTACTAAACAAATCTCTCTCTCTCAATATATATATATATATGTCTGTGTGGTGTGTGTGTGCGCGCGCATGCGCGCATGTGTGTATATATATTAAAATTTCACTAACTATATTTTATTAACTTTTTCAAATTATTTGAATACGATTTGTTGATGATTCTATTAACAATTAATATATATTTATATAAACAATCTTCAGATCATTAATCAAATTACTCATACTACCGCGCAACGCACGGTTCCCTTACTAGTTAATAAGTTAGAAGAGAGTATCTTATGAAAAAATCGTTATTACCGATGCCAAACCGCTGTGTGTGTGTATATATATATATATATATATATATATATATTCCCATCAAAGCAATAAAAACTTCTTATTATTGATACCACATCAAAACAAGTCAATGAACACTTTAAATAAAAGAATCATAAACATTTGGATACATATTTAAATAAAATATAAGATATGTTTTAGGAGAAAGGTGTGGTCTAACTTGATAGCAACTACATAACACGATCATGGATTTTTTTTAGCATTTTATGCCATCGAGGTTATTGACAAAATAGTCCCTGAACTATGACCTTATTCCAATAGGTGTCCCATACTCGTCATTCATTCATTTAAGTTATTGTTTGAGTAATTTATTTTAAAAATAGTCCTAGCAAGGTGTTTGTTGAGCTCTTTTAGCTTGTCACTTGTACTTTCTGCATCAACAAAATCTGGATAAGCTTTCCTCCCAGTGATCTTCGTATTAGAATAGACATTTGGCAATAAACTTCCGTTTGTTTAGAGGGATCATCCTAACTCTTAATGAACGTTGACAGCATGCTTAACATATGCAAATTTTTTTAAATACATAGCTTTTAAATTTTAATTAGATGGTAATGAACGTGTTTTGACAAATTCCCAAGCTATAATTAATCTTAAAGAAAAAAAGTTTGACGGAAAAAATCGCTTTTAAAACTTGTTTACAAGCAAAATAACTAAAAACAACCATTGTAAAACCAGAAAAAAACTCAATTTGGAATAATTAATAGTGTAGAGACTAGTCTTAGAATAATACGATAATTTGAAGTGTGTTATTTATAATTTAGCTCGAGAATTCCCCATCCACACCTCCCTTAATCCCAAAGATGTCTCTTAGAGACAATGAATACAAATAACAAAAGTTTGAACAGAGTAAATGTGTAATTTAATACATCAGGTACAAGTCAGTGAAGCATTACCATTTTGGATTTAGTAATTCTTGGTCTGGAAAAAGAAATCATCAAAAAATTGGGTTCTGCTTTTGACTGTAGAGTAATGTATAAATTTTAATGCACGAGGTACAAGTTATTGCAGCGGTGTATCTCTGGAATTTGCTATTTTTGTTTTGGGAAAAGGAATTACCAAATCTTTTGGCCTGCGCTCTTTACTGTCTCTAAATGGTCTACAAATCGTGGGTTTTGACCCTTTTTTACTTCCCCTTCTATAATCTTCTTACGAATTCTCTTCCTCAATTGTTATGAGTTTTGTGATCTCTTTGTTTAGAGGAATTCAATTCGATTTCAGTGTTTTTAGGGTTTGGTGATGATGGTGGAGTGATGTGTAGTGAAGGTATTGTTGTTCATCATCAACAACAAGAAGCAGAATGAACTGTGTGTAGAACAAAAGACGATTTGCTTTGTAGAGATGTCTCCTGTCAAATTCTTGTTTATGTTCTTGTTCATATCAATCATACTATGGCTTCTGTTCATGTGAGTAATCGATCAAGCATCTATCTTTTTATTTGATCAGTTTTTGTATTTTCAAGGGAAAACTGCTATATTCGGGGAGCTTGAATTTTGGAGTTATAGGGGAATGATCGAACATATCACAGCATTTGACTATGTTATTGCTACAAATACAGAATCAATGTAATAAAAATTTACATGGATGGATGGAATTGGATTATTGAAGTCCTATATCATAATATAATAACAAGTGCACTGGTGCATTCTTTTGACAATATTTTTTATATTTGTTGAAGTGCCAAACCCATTGATTCTGCAAAGTTGGGTGGAAGTTGAGTCTAATATTGTCTGAGTATACTAAATATCATATGGAAAGATTAATTTTGTGTAATTGGTCTATGAATGGAATGTTAGATCACTGAAGTTTTACTGTCTAATTTTGTAAGTGGGGAATGGGTACATTACCTTTTGGTTCTTAGATGAATCAGGAGGTTGATACTCTTAAGTGATACAGAATCCTTATCTTTTAAATGGAAAGTGTGTGAATTTGGTAATTTGTTTACAAGTTATGAAGATAGTTTGCCAATATAATGCTGTTACGTGTGGTTTACAGATAGAACCACTTCTCAGGCACTCCCTTCCGTCCTTGACATTTATTATCTGGAGTATTACAAAGATAGTCTCAGGAACTTACTGTTTAACCTTAATAAGAATATGGAGTAGCTAACTAGCCACACCATTTTGATGCATCAAACAATCAGTTTAATTAAGTCAAGTTATACATACTCCTGGGCCTCAATAAAATGTGACGGTTTCTGCAGTTTAATTGAAAGTAGTAGTTTGTTTGCAGTGTAAAGTTGTGATTTTTTTCTTTGAGTCCGTTGAAATGAATCATAGTCATGTACTTCTAGTTTCTATTACACCAAGTTGTGGGGGCATACTTCATCACGTATGTTACATCAGAATGAAAGATGTTGTTACACTAACAGTAAGGATGAAAACAATACAGTGGCTTAATTGAAGGTATTACGGATTCTTTTCTTAGTTATTATAATCTTTATCCATATACAAAATTTCTTATCATTTTTTCCTATACGGTTCTTGGGGGGTTCATTTTGAGCAACATCTATCCTGATGAGCCGTTTATTGAATCATAGCAATTGATGTTCGATCCTCAACAGAAGGAATAGATATTCAGAAAGGGGGTTATTATGATCAGATCAAGAATCAAACTTATCTAAACATTCCTGCTATTCTCTATTTATGTAAAAAAGGTGCTCAGCCTACAGGAATGGGCTTGTAATGGTCAAAACACAATCTTGACCCTATATGGTTTCGGACTTCTCTGGTAGGAGAGCCTTATGGATCTTTTTGGTACAATGTGTTACATAGCTCTCTTTTGTTATCTCTGATCGTGATTTGAGCTTTCTACATTTTCTATATCATCTCGTTATCATATATATATATATATGTATATATATATATTTTCCTGTTGTTGATAAAGATGCTTTAACGAATAAGCAGCATGGTAACTTATATTTTTATTATTATTATCATTAGGCACCTAAGGAAGTGCAAAATAAACATAGTAATGGCTAAACCTGCAAGATTTAAGCTGACAATCAACAAGCTGTTTAGGACTAATAAGGAAATTTGAGCTGAACGATTAACAAGTTGTTTAAGATCAATAAGGAAATTTGAGCCAAATAATCAACAAGTTGTTTAAGACTAATAAATGAAGGATCTTTCTTTGCTAATGCTGATCTCTTTTGTCTTTCTATCGAGTGTATAGTTGAGATACGGTCTGAGTATGAAGTAGAATATGGTTAATTGGTCATATGAAAATGGATATATGTGTGTGTATATATATATATATATATATATTTCTTATTGGCTGTGAATTTTGCAAAAGGAATTACATTTTTTGGGCTTATCTTGCAATTCAACTACAGTGCATCATGAATCTAATGGATCCTATTTTAAATTTTAATTGCACTCGAAGTTTAGAAGAGTAGTAAAGTTTGTGCAATTAATGATTCTTTAATGAAGGAACACACCGTGGTTTGATCTCATAGTCATATGTTTAATCATGCTTGGTTTAGAACAAATTTTATTATATTGCATCAATGTACTTAAAAGTTCCAGAGGCTAACTAAATATCAATTTTCAGATTTGCTTCCAAGTTAGTTGCTTGGACTTTAAGTCGGATTATGAAAGCATCGGTGGCATTTAAAGTTAGTGGATGGAAATGTTTGAGGGACATTACGATCAAGTTTGAAAAGGTGATTCCTTTTGGCTTTGGTCATGGTATCTGCTCAAATATTTAATTTCATTGATGCTAGCGCTTCAACCTTCCATGTACTGAGCTAGTTTATTCTGGTCTTTTAACATACATCTAATTGTGATTCAATTCTTTTTTCTTCCGGTATGATTGCTTTTATTTCTCCATGTCAAAATTATTTTTGGATTCTAATGATATGCATATTGAATTGGTATTTTTCAATTGATTCACATACTCATATTAATTTCTTGTATCAGGAACTCTATAAGCCATAAAGAAACTTAATTCAAATTGTTAGAATGATCTATATCAAGTAGTTAATATTCTAGAGAACTCTTATCTTTTTATCTATTTTGGAATGATAAATTGGATGCATATTAGCTAGGGACCTGTTTGTTGGATCTGAAGCATAACTTTTTGAACATGGTCGAAATAAGACTTATTTGACTTGAACAAAATCAAGGAATTCTTTGTCAAGACAGGAGGCAGGTACATGGATATTGGATCAAAAAGATAATTTTCTGTATCTTGTTAATATAGGATTTGTCGCTAGCGAAAGGCAATATAATACATGGTCAAAATTGGGAACTTATGTTATACATTCACTAATTTTTGCAGTAATCCACTGATACCATTTGAAGCCTTACCATTGCCAACAAGTTTGGCCCATTATGCTCTTCACTGGACTTGACATAGCTATTCATCTTACAACAGATGATATATTTCTTATTTTTGTTTTTTGTAGCATATTTTTATGCACCCTTTTCTATTGATATTGTTTCTTTTCAAAAATCAAGTACATCTTCTCGGTTTTATGATTTTCGTGTAATTGCATCTATGTTCATTTTAAGTATCTTTCTGCTATTGATATGACATAAAACTTAAACTACTACCAGATCGTCTAATAGCAGCTAACTGACATCATACGTTGTTGACCTTGATGTTATCCTTGGCAATTTGCAGGGTGCGGTTGAATCGATTTCTGTTGGTGAAATCAGATTTAGTCTACGGCAATCCTTGGTTAAACTAGGGGTTGGTTTTATGTCTAGGGACCCAAAATTGCAATTGTTGATAAGTGACATAGAAATTGTTACAAGAACTTCAAACAGAAATACAAAGAAAACAGAGTCACGAAAATCTCGCAGATCCCGCAGTAGCCCAGGCAGAGGGAAGTGGATGGTTGTGGCTAACATGGCAAGATTCTTATCAATTTCTGTGACAGATTTGGTTGTAAAAGTAAGTTGTTCCGATGAAAATTCTCATGTTTATGACATAAATCTTTTGGTACTCATTCTTGCTTACTGCTTCGTCTTGTATGAAATTATCTTGTACATATATATATGTATATATATTATTGATATGGTCATTTATAGTTGGCATGATTTGGAGTTTCTGTACAGCTTCTTATATTCATTAGACGCCAAAGACCATGGAGCAGGCAAGTTGGCTTGTCATAGAATAGTGTTTAGCTAATGTTTAAAGTGGTTCATGCAAGGATGGGTTACTAGCATAACCTGGCTGATCTGCTATTCAACTTGGGCATTGTATTAAATATTAATGGTGTACTAATTTCCGTTATATCTATCACTATATAACAAAGTTGTTGATAGAAGATATTCAAATATAATAGAAATCTAATAATTTGTTGAATTCAAAATTACAGAATGTTGTGGGTTAATTTTTTTGTCTATGATCTGTAAAATTGCATTTTTAGGGCAACTCTACGGGGACAAATGTCCCACCTGAAATTAAAGTTATCTGGCCCACTGAGAATCAAGGTGGTGTTTGGACTAAAATCCGAATTAAATATTATGAATACCCCCAATTTGAATACCCCCAATCAAGGCATTTTCTCTGTAACTTGTCTTCTCCTGAAGTGAGTTCTTTTAGATTTGTTTCTCAACCAAGCTAGTGGGCCATCTGCCATAAAGCTTAATGCCTCTGCAATCTGCCATAAAGCTTAATTAATACCTCTGCAATCTGTCATGGACTTACCCTGCCAGATAATTCTGCTAGGCCTCTATTCTACTGTAAAACTAGCCAAAGCAGCATGGTGGTCTAGCTATCCACTTGGTTCAGAAAATCAAGGCCAGAAGTTATTAAGTAGCCCTATACCAACAGGATGTTCCATCCACTGTCACTCTGAGTTACTCTCATAGTAATCCAGTATTTTCATGCACGTTTACACTCTACTTGCATATATGTCAGCACAAAAAATCTACATATAACTTCTTTTAATGAAAAAATGGACATCAAATGAGCGTTCCCTTATTCAATGAGTGTTTAGATTATATTCCTCCATGGTGGGCTGCATTACTACAGTTTGCCTGAGAAAAAGGGTTCATTGGAGTATGTAGAAAGTATTTCTGTTTCTTAGAGGCAAATTTGTATTATGTCATGTGCGCTATTTCCATGTAGTAGAATGTGGGAAAATATACTTGTTAGCCATAGCGGCTAGTTGAGTTGCAAGAGTAGATTTCAATGGAGGAGATTCTTTTAGGTAACCACTTGACACAAGAGGGTGCTCTTGTGGCTGCCTCTTCCCATCATGAGTCCCAGATTGTTGGTTGCATGTTTTTTATAACTTTTGTTACATAATGTGGAAATATTGGTCAAACACACAATATTTGATTATAACCTCAAAAGTCTTGTAAAGGTATATGGGTTAAATTTCCTGTTAGGCATGCTATCCTTTGCTTTATAAAGGTTTCATTTTATCAACTGCTTTTGATTTTCTATTATTTCGGGGCAGACACCAAAAGCTACTGTAGAAGTTAAAGATTTGGGCGTCGATATATCAAAAGATGGCGGTACAAAGCCTTCTCTTTTTGTGAAGCTGCAACTTTTGCCCGTTGTTGTTCATCCGGGTGAACCACGTGTTAGTTTTGATCAATCATCTAGCTTTAGCAATGGTGAAAACTTTACTGTGGGGCAGACATGCTTTGCAACAATAGAGAAGGCTTCTGCTCCTTTCATTTGTGAAGAATTCCATCTCTCGTGTGAGTTTGGTCATGATAGGTTGGTTTTCTTTGTTTTAAATATGTTTTTCCACAAACCTATATTACACTATTTAAGAATAATGAGTACTTGCTTGTTCTTTTTCTTTGGCTTTTTGTTCATTTGCAGAATTTCTAGTAGTTTATTTCTGTGTTCTAGGATTGTTTATTTGTTATTTTACATCACATGAACAAACTGTTGTTGGTATTGTTGTTTGAATCTTATTCTTTTGTTGCTTGCGAACTTGCAATTAAGCTAGTCATTTATCGGGCCAAGACCCACTTCCTATTCACTTGCTAAGATAGAAGGCTTTCTAAATGAGATCGACTTCATGACCTGGGTATGTTTGTGCTACTGCTGCTCAGAATTCAGATAACAGCTAACTCGACTAAAACCATGACACCCATAGTTTATGATCTTAAAGAGAAAAACATATTTTAGAGGTAGAAGATTATATTTATAATGTTAGAGTGACAGACTCAGCTTCTGTAATGTACTGATCTTGAGCGAGAAAATGTGCACTTTATATGGATGATGATAATTGTATACATGATTTCAAAGAGTATGAGTGTGCGAGTCATTTGCACTTTGAGGTGAACTTCTAATTCTAAAAATGTCTGTTATTTCTGAAAAGAAACTGCACTATGGTTTTGGGGAGAGAGAATGAGGTTTTAGAAAAATACATAAATGTTATATATTGTTTCTTTTTCTTCGTTAACCCATAATGTCCTACCCAGTTTCAAAGATATCCGACTTGTATTATTATAAGTCATTTGGTTTGCGTTGAATATGGTTGACAAAGTTTTGACATGGGTTAGAATGGGTTCAGATATTTATTTGGGTTCACAACCTAACCCACCTAAGTTTGCAATTCAATAGAACGAGAGACATACTTGGGGGTGGATTATCTGTTTTCCTGGTGTGCTGCTAGGATAAGAAAGCTCCTATTTATCTCTCATCTTTTGTGTTTATCTATTGAATAGCATTGGTTTTTTTTGGGAGGAGAAAGGGGGGGGGGGGTCTATTGGGATCCTATACTTGGGAGAAATCTCGTTAGTTTCTGGTGCCGGGTTGTACAGGTGGCTATAGGCCCTAATCTCACATGTCAGAAAAATGAATTTGTACAGAGCATCCAGGAAGATGGTCCTTCATAAATGCTTCAGTCTACAGCATTGTTGTATGTTTTTGTCCTTCCCATTGTGTGCCTAAAACTTTGGAAGTTTCTTGAAAGATGTGGAGTTATATTGGTATGTTTGAATAAAGTTCACTTGGGATCAGTGTTAATATGTGCCCCTTTATGTTTCTTCTCCTCTCTTTTACGTGCATGGAGTTATTAGTTGATGGGATAGGTACCAGACTTATGTATGTGGCTGAGCTCTGTTTTGCAATCTCCATTGATTTCTATTGATATTGAAACAAGAAGGTTTCTGGTCTAGGTGTTGGGTGTTGATGGTCCTTTGCTGTTTTTTTTAATTCTCTATTGAAGCTTTTGTATATATAATATAATACTCTTGCTGCAGAGAAGCAGGTATTGTAGTAAAAAATGTGGACATTTCTATTGGAGAAATCGCTTTGAACATAAATGAGGAGCTGATTCCCAGAAAGAAGTCATCTGACACCCAAGTTGATGAAGTTTTACAATCGAGCATGGAATACAACATCGCCAAAAAGCAGAAAAATAAACAAGCTGCCCTTTTGGCTGTGACCAAGTACACTTCATTCATCCCCGAAAAGGTTGGCTACTGTTGTATATGTTACTTGCATTTTCTTCTGTTCACTCCCCTGCCCCCTTATGAGTTATAAGTAACTTTCCTAAGACACTTGTAGCAGTTGAACCATCACATTTCTGTTGGGATGACTTGGATCTATTATCTTCTCGATCTTTCCCTTGTGTTTGCATCTTCTATTTTTTGGCCCATGGGGTTGCCTTAAGGGTGTGCTTGGTACACGGACAGGACTGGACTGGACATGACAAGACAGGACTGGATAAGACTAGACTGGACTAATTGTCTATTTGGTGTTTGATACGAGTATGACTAGGATAAGACTGGACATGTTGTCTGTATAGTTTTTGGTAAGCTCGACTGGACATGACAAGAATATTAAAATGACCAGATTGCCCCTCAAACGTACTTGATGGAAATTAATACATGAAACCTGATTCTTGGCAATAAAGTCTATTACAAACATATCTAATAATTTAAAATCATCGAATGACTTCAAAAAATATTAAATACAATTTTAATCTATTTAAAACAATAAATTCAATAATATTATGATATCTTTAATTTATATTTATAATTAGTTATTTGAAAATGGAAAAATTAATGGTGATCTGCTGTGTTAAGTACAGATATATTACTTGTATCTGGGTCTTAAACCCTAGTTCTCTGAATTTTGTTGAATGAAGTCAATCCAATGCCTTGGTGTTGCAGAAAGAGATTGAATTATTAGATTATATGAAGGGCAAGAAGTGTCAATCTGGGTCGTGCAATTGGTGGGATCTGATGACGATGAGACCCTTTGGGGCAAAATTATTGTATGTAGTAAAGAGGATTAATGGGGGGAGTTCATCATCAGGGTGTTAAGGTTTTTTGTTTGAGAAGAAATTAGGGGATCATTTTGCAGCCACACTTCTCACCTAGTATGGAAAGTATAACAATATCTAGCAGCAATGGGGTTATTGGCTTGATGAACATCAAGGTCACAACCATTTTAAAGTTGGACAGGATGATGGAGCCGACTTCAGGTGATGGAGCAGACGCCTCGATGACGGAGCAGAGGAGAGGGTAATGGAGCAGACTAGGGAGGTAGGCGTCGGAGCAGAGGATAGGGCATCGGAGCAACGAGGAGGTAGGTGACGGGAGAGCACAATGAGTTCTGAATCTGATATGGGTAGTAATATTGTCCGAATTCCCTGTTTTCTGTTCCACCTATTTTGGTGGGACAAAAAAGTGCATTTTGGTCCTAATCAGTCTTGTCTTGTCCCAGTAAAATGTCATGCCAAATGTGGGACAGAGAGTTTTTGTTTTGTCTTGTCACATTCTATCCCGCATACGGCATACCAAGCGCACCCTAAAGGAACATGAGGGGCACCGGAAGAGTAGACCTTATGCTTAACATGAAAACTCATTGGGTCACCCTTTTTGTTTTATTTCATCTTCCTTCCCAACTAGTTTGGGATGAAAGGCTGTTATTTGTTCTGTATCTTCCTTGGACTGTTTGTAGAGCACTTTGCTAACCAATAAGTGCTGCAACGATCTTAGAAGCCTACTAAGATACACAGGTTAGACTGTTCCATATACATCTTTTGGATACTATATTCCATTTTGTGTTGGGATCAGCAGTGTTCTCCTTCAAAAAGTTCGATTTGGTAGTTTATATTAGTGGTAGCTGATATAGTCTCTGTCTCTGTGATAGGTTTGTCTCACTTTGCCAAAGTTGAATGTGAGGTTTGTGCATAAAGAACACTGTGTTGTTATGGAGAATAACATTATGGGCATCCAACTAAAGAGCGTGAAGTCTCGGTTTGTTGAAGATATTGGAGAAAGCACCCGTCTTGATCTTCAGTTGGATTTCAGTGAGATTCATGTATGAGTGCAATGTTTAATATCTTGGCCATACAGAGTCATTGATATTGGTCATAGTTCCTTTTGTAATGATACTCTCTTTAATATGGTGTAGCTTCTTAAAGAAGCTGAAAATTCTATGGTGGACATTCTGAAGCTTGCTGTTATTTCTTCGGTTTACATTCCATTACAGGTACGTATATATATGTTTTCATAAATATCTTCAAATAGCTAGTAGGGTTGCTACTTATGATTTTTCATCTCTTAGGTGGCACTTTAATAGATATACGATATACGTTGTTGAAAGTATCCACTAAGCAATCCTATTCTGGCAATTACTTCTTTAAATAGCCACCTAAGTGGATATTTAAAAGTCTGTTGATGCCCCAACATTGAAGCAAGAAGCTGTCTGAAATTTTGTTGTGCTTCTTCAAGAGAATAATCAGTGGCAAATTCTTACTTTATTTGCATGTGAAAGTGACTAGTTATAAAAACCCCTGAGGTCCCAGCCTATATCAATGTACCCCTTGATGTTAAGGAACATATATGACAAGTACTTATTTTGTCCCACTTATAGGTGCTCTGTGAATTATTAACAGGCAAGAGTGAGAGTGAGTTATCTTTTCAGGGAGGAGAACCTACAAGAACAGAGAAGTGGTTTTTAGAGTTGGACAGATTTAGAAGAATGTTAGATCTACTTGGGAAAATTCAGCCTAGCAAGAGTTATTGGAGAGAGTACTTTGTCTACAGAAAGTATATCCAAACTATCATTAGATGTATAATAACTTCTTGTTTTCTCCTCACATGTCCCCCAGATACCATGAACAGCATGCCACTATAACATGGCAGTTTTGACCATTTTGATTACAATTTTTTTTATTTACAAGGTTTAAGTTCTTGATTCAAGTTGCCTTCAGTTGGTTCTTTTGTGGATTTCATGTTACATTTTTGTTGATTTATTTCTTTGCTAAATGTAAATTTTGACAAGCACTTGCATATAAAAGAAAACCTTTTTGAATTTTATGATTTAGCTTTCCCTGACGCTTTTATTGGCTACTGCATATATTGTATGATGCTATATGTTAACATGTAATATATTTCTTGTTGAGATGGCTCATGTGTCTAATGTTAATTTAAGTGTATATGGTGTCGAACCTTGAATTGCCTTCTGCTTTATCATTTCGCAGCACCAACTTCTCACCTTTTAGAATGCTTGGCCTTTTCAGCCCACATCACCTATTAGATCTGAAATTGATATTAAGCTCGGAGGCACCCAGTGTAACTTAATTATGGGAAGATTGAAGCCATTGATGAAATTGCGCTCCTCAAATAAGAAAAAGATGGTGCTTCAAGATGAAAATTCTAATCCAGTGACAGTCAAGTCAAGTGGTTCCAAAGCCATTATGTGGACATGCACAGTTTCGGCTCCAGAGATGACTATTGTGCTTTTTAATTTGAGTGGATTGCCGATATATCATGTAAGTGATTTATCTTGTCGCAGTCCTACTTTATTGTTTATCTTGTCGTTTTAAAGTTCCCTCTAGGATTTCTGTACGTAACTGGTACACCTCATGCATCTTGTTGTAATCTATCATGCTTGAGTTCAATATTTAGATCTGTTATTGTAATACAGTCAATCTCTAGACCCCTTACGTGTTGTTACTCACTTCCTTGGCAATGGAAAATCAACTTGGGGAAAATGAATATTGCCAATTAAAGACCAATTACAATTTCAAATACAAACACCAATTACAGTTTATCATGGGATACCTAACCATGGAGCAGTGTCCTTTGGGACTAAGCTACGCCTCAGCAACACAGTGGTAACAATTTGCCAAGATAGAAATTAGTTCTTATCTCTTATAATGCAGAATATAAATTTGGTGGTGTCCCAATTTTATTAGCTATAAGTAAGCGTATCTTTATTGTGTCATGTGTCCCAACCATCAGCTAAAATAAATGTATCTTTGATGAAGTGATATGATACTAAGTCAAACTTAATCATATTTATTTGGTAGTCAGCATGATAGCATCATGTTGTTGGATGCAAGTATATTGTAATGAGGTTAAATTTTTTGGATATCACAATTCACAACTACGTTCCATAGTACTAAGTAGGAAATCTTTATCAGGCTACTTTATGACTTAACATTACACGGTAGCTCACATAGAAACCATGCAATCTGTTGTCTAGAATACAAACAAGATGTTTTGTTGTAAACATACTTGCAGCCACAATTGAAGATTTCAAGTATTAGGTTTGTTTTTAAACAAAATTGAAAGTAGTGGTCTTTAAGGCTTAGGGCCTGTAACTTCCAAGTTCAAAGATTTGCACATATACTGACAGTTTTTGTGGCTAATACTTCCAGTGTAACCTCGATTCCTACACTTCTCAGTCTAACTACCTGAATTTCTATTGTTAAACCAAGTTTTGCCAATTATCGTTATCATAGTTATTTAATTCGGAATGATTGGTTACATAAATCAGCAGTGTTTTCCCATTTTCGTACAACTGTTGCTTGTTAAGATATATATGACCAAGAATGTGCCAGGTGAAAGACAAAAGACTGCATCTGAAAAGGAAGTTTCAAAGAAGAAAACCAAATTTTTCAAAGCTAGTTACATCTGATGCAGATCCTCTTTAGTTTCAAAATCTTTGCTTTGTGTACCTTTGGTAAAAATGACACATACCATCTCTGTAACACAAATTGGGTTATCAGTTCATCACCTTTTGGAAGGTTTATTGAAGTATATGGTTGCCAACTTGTTTGAGAGAGCATTTTCTTGAAACACAATTCAGCGACATCTTTTATGCTTCTGTCTCCAATATTGATAAGCACCATTCTTAAGACGGGTATGGATGTATGGAACTGGGAATCATTATGATCATTGATCATAGGCACTCAATAGTTTGCATTCTTATGGATGGCTGTTATGTCACTACTTTTCTGCTTTCACAGTCACCAGAATGGTGTATAAGTCATCCTATACATTGTGTTTACCACCTACTCCTCACCTTCTCCCTCTCTTCGTAGTCATGGTTAAGTTAACGTTTCTTATGCTTTTTTTTCTACTTTCATTTGCTTTCAGGGTTGCTCACAGTCCTCGCATGTCTTTGCCAACAACATATCAAGCACAGGCACTGCCATCCACTTGGAACTTGGAGAACTGAATTTGCATATGGCAGATGAGTATCAAGAATGTTTGAGAGAAAGCCTTTTTGGCGTGGAAACAAATACCGGTGCGCTATTGCATATAGCAAAGATTTGCCTGGATTGGGGTAAAAAGGATAAGGAGTCACTTCAAGAAGACAACTCTAAGTTCATATTGGTTCTGTCTGTTGACATAACTGGCATGAGTGTGCACTTGACATTCAAGCGTGTTCAGTCCTTGCTATCCACTGCTTTGTTGTTTAAGGCACTGTTGAAAAGTTCATCCCCATCTATTAAGACATCTGAACAAAATCGGGTAGGGCGTTCTACAAAACCATTAGGAAAAGGGATTCAGCTAATAAAATTTAATCTGGAACGCTGCTCTGTAAATCTCTGCAGTGATGTAGGCTTGGAAAATGAAGTTGTTGAGGACCCCAAACGTGTCAATTATGGATCACAAGGTGGTCGTGTTCTTATTAGTGTCTTACCTGATGGGATTCCTCGTACTGCAAAAATAGCATCAACAGTTTCTGATGAGCACAAGATGGTGAAGTGTATTGTAGGCCTTGATATTTACCATTTCTGTTTGTGCTTGAACAAGGAGAAACAGTCCACTCAGGTGGAGCTTGAAAGAGCTAGATCTGTATATCAGGAATATCTGGGAGACAACGATTCTGGCACAAAGGTGACGTTGTTTGACATGCAAAATGCAAAGTTTGTAAGGCGTGCTGGAGGTCTTAAAGAGATAGCTGTTTGCTCTCTTTTTAGTGCCACTGATATTACAGTCAGGTGGGAGCCTGATGTTCATTTAGCATTGATTGATCTAGGGTTGCGACTAAGGCTACTGATTGACAATCAGAAGCTTCAGGCACATGAGGACACACTCATGAAGGACATATATAGTAGTAGAGATGATGAACGTAGAAAAAAAGTTCATGTGGGATCATTACAGTCAGAAAAGAATAAAAAGAAGGAATCTCTTCTTGCTATTGATGTTGAGATGCTTACTGTAACTGCTGAAGCTGGAGATGGTGTTGAAGCCATGATTCAGGTTCAGTCAATCTTTTCTGAAAATGCTCGTATAGGTGTACTTCTTGAGGGACTAATGCTAAGTTTCAATGCCGCAAGAGTGTTTAGGAGTGGCAGGATGCAAATTTCCCGCATACCAAATGCCTCTGGTGGTGCTTCTAATGCGAAAGTTGAGTCAGATACTAAGTGGGACTGGGTGATTCAAGCATTTGATATACATATTTGCATGCCATATAGGTTGCAGCTGCGTGCTCTTGATGATTCTGTAGAGGAAATGTTGCGAGCTTTAAAGCTTGTTGTTGCTGCTAAAACAAAAATAATATTTCCATTTAAAGAAGATGGTGCAAAACCAAAAAAGCCTAGTTCCTCAAAAATTGGGTGCATAAAGTTCTATATACGAAAGCTGACTGCTGACATTGAAGAGGAACCAATACAGGGTTGGCTTGATGAACACTATCACCTAATGAAGAATGAGGCTCGTGAACTGGCTGTTCGGTTGAGTTTGCTTGATGCAGTTATTGCAAAAGGTAACCAGTCTCCTGCAGTTGCTGATACAGATGATTCTATTCATGAAGGCATGTTCCAAGTTGGTGGAGAAGAGATTGATTTGCACGATACATCAGCCATTGAAAAACTTAAGGAGGAAATCTATAAGCAGTCATTCCGCTCTTATTATCGGGCATGTCGGAGTCTTGTCACAGCAGAAGGATCAGGTGCTTGCCAGGATGGATTTCAGTTTGGTTTTAAGCTTAGCACTTCGAGAACCTCTCTTTTTTCGATAACTGCAACAGAGCTTGATTTAAGCTTGTCAGCAATTGAAGGTGGTGAAGCAGGGATGATAGAATTTGTACAGAAGGTTGATCCGGTTGCTCTGGAATATAAAATTCCGTTCTCTCGCCTCTATGGAAGTAACCTTAATTTGCAAACAGGCTCTCTTGTTGTTCAGCTGAGGAACTATACTTATCCCCTTCTTGCTGCAACCTCTGGTAAATGTGAGGGTAGGATCGTGCTCGCTCAACAGGTCAGAATATAAGTTTCCTTCACTCACTCTCTCTTCTCTCTCTCTAGTTACATTCAGTTTTTTGTTTCCCACTTTTTTCATTTGGACCCTTTACACCCTAACCTCTCATTCCTGCCTCTTTCTGAAATAAAAGACATGCACATGTTTTTGTGCACACCGTGGTTGTGAAATCCTTTAAAATGTGGTAACCGCCAAACTGATGATAAAATGTGTTAAGTAAAGAAATGATGTTCTATGTATTGCTAATTTAATTTCTGTGGTGTGTGGTGCTGGCTCATTTTTGGTGATGATAATGTTATTCATCAAATCATAGGAGTATAGGTTTATTACCTATATCTTTTTCATTTCTACCATGCATAAGCACAAAGTCATTAAGTTACTTGACTGTGTAGTCTCAAGTTCAAAAGCAAAAGTTTCATGCTGAACCATGTATGATATTAAATACTTGGGAAAATTGCACCAAAATGGAACCAACTTTCATCTAATTTTTATTTTGGGGAACCAACTTTTAAAATCGTCATTTTGGGGAACCAACTTGCACCTGATTCCTATTTTGAGGAACCAACTTTCAAAATTGTCATTTTGGGGAACCAACTTGCACATGATTCCTATTTTGGGGAACCAACTTGTAAAATAATTATAGAAAAATAACTAAAATTCATTTTTTTCCAAAAATTAATGCAATAAAATCTATTTTTCATTTCAAATCTCGTTTTTTTAATACAAATATCAAATTGAACAATTTAAAAAAAATCCAAATTACCACAATAATAATTGTTTTTTACTAATGCAAAAAAAATCAATGTAATAGAAAAAAATTAATTGATGCAATAAAAAATAAATATTAAATATCACATTCAAGATTTTTATATCTAACCAATCCATATGATATTAAAGTTTAAATCAAATTTGGCAAATCAAACCAAAAGTTTGATAGAGACCCTTAAATTACCTGTTAACAGTTCAACAGATCAACCAGACCCTTAAATAAACAAAAAGTTTGATAGAGACCCCTAAATGACGATTTTGAAAGTTGGTTCCCCAAAATAGGCATCAGGTAAAAGTTGGTTTCATTTTGGTGCAATTTTCCCTAATATTTATTTTTTATTGCATCAATTAATTTTTTTCTATTAAATTGATTTTTTTTGCATTAGTAAAAAAAAATTATCATGGTAATTTGGATTTTTTTTTAAATGTTCAATTTGAAATCTGAATTAAAAAAAAACGAGATTTGAAATGAAAAATAGATTTTATTGCATTAATTTTTGGAAAAAAACGAATTTTAGTTATTTTTCTATAATTATTTTGCAAGTTGGTTCCCCAAAATAGGAATCAGGTGCAAGTTGGTTCCCCAAAATGACGATTTTGAAAGTTGATTCTCCAAAATAGGAATCAGGTGCAACCGTGCAAGTTGATTCCCTAAAATGACGATTTTGAAAGTTGGTTCCCCAAAATAGGAATCAKGTGCRAGTTGGTTCCCCAAAATGACGATTTTGAAAGTTGGTTCCCCAAAATAGGAATTAGGTGAAAGTTGGTTCCATTTTGGTGCAATTTTCCCTAAATACTTTCTTGAAACTATATGAGCTTTTACTTATAGCTTCACTTTGAGATTTTTGAATTGTTTCTGCTTTCTTGCTATCATTTTTGTTTCTGGTAAGGAAACAAAACTAGAGAATGAATAAAAGAAATGATTCTGAGTTGTTATGCAGGCCACACCTTTCCAACCTCAAATTCTTCATGATGTCTATATCGGTAGATGGAGGAAGGTGCAAATGTATCGTTCAGTTAGTGGCACAACTCCACCGATGAAAACATATTTGGATTTGCCATTGCTTTTCCAGAAAGGCGAAATATCTTATGGAGTGGGTTTTGAACCAGCTTTTGCTGATTTGAGCTATGCCTTCACGGTAGCTTTACGTAGAGCTAACTTGAGTGTCAGGAACCCAAATGCTTCCAATATTATGCCCCCAAAGAAAGAGAAAAGCTTGCCATGGTGGGATGAGATGAGAAATTACATTCATGGAAAGACCACATTATGTTTTTCTGAGAGCATATTTAATATTCATGCTACGACAGATCCATATGATAAGTCTGATAAACTACAAATTTCTTCTGGATATATGGAGCTCCGACACTCAGATGGGCGTATATATGTTTCAGCAAAGGACTTCAAGATGTTTACAAGCAGTTTGGAGAATTTGCTACGGAATTCAACAATTAAACCTCCAGCTGGCACATGTGGCGCTTTTTTGGTGGCCCCAAGCTTTACTCTTGAGGTTACAATGGACTGGGAATGCGAGTCGGGCAACCCACTCAACCATTTCTTGTTTGCGCTTCCTTCTGAAGGTGTCATTCGTGAAAAGATATATGATCCTTTCAGATCTACTTCACTATCACTGCGGTGGAATTTCTCTCTCAGACCCGTCCCCTCCTCTGAGATTCTTTCACAGTCCTCCACTAACAATTATGCTGCATTTGATGAGGTTCTGGGTGACCCGTCTAAATTGGAGAGCGATTCAATTAGTTCACCAACTCTGAATGTTGGTCCTCATGATTTTGCTTGGCTCATAAAATTCTGGAACTTGAACTACATTCCTCCTCACAAATTGCGTTACTTCGCTAGGTGGCCTCGCTTTGGCGTCCCAAGATTTGCTAGGTCCGGAAACCTTTCATTAGACAAAGTCATGACAGAATTTATGTTCCGCATTGATTCAACTCCAACCTGTTTAAGGCATATGTCTTTAGATGATAATGATCCAGCTAAAGGATTGACATTTAAGATGACAAAGCTGAAATTTGAGATGTGTTACAGTCGTGGCAAGCAAAAGTATACATTTGAGAGCAAGCGTGATATTCTTGATCTTGTCTACCAGGGTCTTGATCTGCATATGCCTAAGGTATTTCTTAATAAAGATGATTGCACGAGTGTCATTAAAGTTGTTCAAATGACGAGGAAAAGCTCAAAGTCTTCATCCACGGACAGAGTTGTAAATGAAAATGTTGGCAATGCCAGAGGATCCACAGAAAGGCATCGTGATGATGGATTTTTGTTGTCATCTGATTATTTTACGATTAGAAGGCAAGCGCCAAAGGCAGATCCTGCTAGATTGTTGGCATGGCAGGAAGCTGGTAGAAAAAATCTTGAGATGACATATGTTAGGTCAGAATTTGAAAATGGAAGTGAGAGTGATGAACAGGCAAGGTCTGATCCAAGTGAGGATGATGGGTATAATGTGGTGATAGCTGATAACTGTCGTCGCATCTTCGTCTATGGACTGAAGCTCCTGTGGACAATTGAAAACAGGAATGCTGTTTGGTCATGGGTTGGTGAGTTATCTAAAGCTTTTGCACCTTCAAAACCTTCTCCTTCACGTCAATATGCCCAGAGGAAGCTGCTTGAAGGGACCAGGGTGCAAAATAAAAATGAATTTCACGAAGATGTCTCAAAGAACCCTTCTATTGGTCAAGGTGGAAGTTCTTCTAAACAAAAGGAGGCATCAGGATCGGATCTGTCTCTAACAAACCCATCTAAATTAGAGTGTCAATCATTTGGTGCTCTTGGTAAGTGCAAGGCCACATTAATGTTTGCTTTGGAGAAGCATCTATTGATATAACATTGATCTGATCATATTTTGGGGTTTCACTTTATTATCATGATAAATATGCATCGATTTTACATATCAGTAGCTCTGATCAGTGTTGCATGTTCTCCTTCATATAACATCTAGATCCTTGTAAGGCGTTATTTCTATGTCTAAACTCTTAGTGCATTTTTTGTTGTAATTGATAGACAAGCACGTGTTTGACGACTCTGATGAGGAGGGCACTCGTCGTTTCATGGTAAACGTTATCGAGCCACAATTCAATCTTCACTCGGACGATGCCAATGTAAGTTGTTATGGTGTTAAAACTAAATTTCTTTAGTGGAACTTTCTCACCCGTGAGAAATATAAGCAACCACCTTTTCCGATGCATGGTTTGCTATTTTCTCTTGTGTCTTTAAGTTCTGTATTCACTTTTGTTACTTCTAAACTAAGACACTCGTATGGTAATGCAATGAAGCCTGTTATTTCATGACTCCATTTACCATGTACATAGCCTTCATTCCTTTTTAAGTTGTTTGTCAGTTCCCTCCCGTGAGAATTTTGACAGGAGATTTAGGTTGACCCCTGTAATTTGTTAAGGATTGTGTGTGGTGTAGCCTTTGGCTGGGACTGCAACTACATTGGAAGTTGTGGTTTTTGTTTCCAATACTCAAACCACCAAATAAGGCCATCTGGCTTTTGTGAGTTTGATTTCTTTCGATACTTCAGTTTCTTGTTTTTTTATAGTTTTTTATGTAATCGTGCTTAATTAAGCCTAAATGGTGAAAGAACTTATTAGATAGTCGTTACTAAGAGTGCAAGATGAGTCGTCAAATGTTTAGTTTGTTTTCTAAATGTTGAGCATCTTTTGAATGCAAATTTTGTTCATTTTTTATTTTTGTCATTTGTAATATCAAACAATCATTTTGAAATGCTGAAGAGGAATGATTAAGAACTGATGAAGCTCTATTATGTGAATTTGGAGATCGAGTTATTACCAAGAATCAAAGATGAGTTGAGGATGCTTGATTAGGGGTTGATAAAATTAGTCATCAGTCATCAACACATAGAATAGAGAATCTTGTTCATTTCTGTGGGATTCTGTTGAGGAGGACCGGCCTTCTAGACTCCACCAGAACTAAACGTGTGGTGCTGCTAATGTAGATTGGTAAAACGGAATTGTGACACAAAAGAGTTCCTTTAGATACTACGTTTGGATTTGTGGGTTATATGTTGGTTTTCTGTTGTTTGAGGCATTATGATTTTACATTTGAACTGATCTTTGAGGTCCAAATATCCAGCCATGAACCGTCTTCATATCCTAATGATCGACTGCAAACCCTGTTTCAAATGCCATAATATTGGTGTAAATGGTCTAACCTGTGATAAATTAACCTAACATTGCACTGCTCCGCAACAATACTCATGTGTCTCTTGGTTTCTCCAATACAAGCGATTCAAAAGGGCACACTTTGCCCTATTTCATGCGTATAGGTTTGCCTTGGCACCTTGTATTAAGGAGAGTAACTTGACCATAAGAATGTCACCTAGTTTCTTCTTTTATCCTTGTTTGTGCTGTAAATGCGAAAAAAACTAGTCATTTATGTAAGCAATATGTTTGCCTTGAAAATATTTGTTAAATTCATCATGGTTCCTAAATGAAAGAGGAGATATATATGAGTAGAACACGAATGAAATCATAACAGAAGAATATGACAAGATATTTTGTTTCTACTGCTTGATCATGGATTGTGTATATGTTGCATCTTACTGGTCGTTGTTATGGTCAACAGGGTAGATTTTTGCTTGCTGCTGTTAGTGGGCGAGTTTTAGCTCGCTCATTTCATGCGGTTCTCAATGTCGGTATCGAGATGATCAAACAAGCACTTGGCAGTGGAGATGTCAACAATCCTGAATTGACATGGAATCGCATGGAGCTCTCTGTGATGTTGGAACACGTGCAGGCCCATGTTGCTCCAACTGATGTCGATCCAGGGGCTGGACTTCAGTGGTTACCAAAGATCCGTAGAAGCTCACCAAAAGTAAAGCGTACTGGGGCTCTACTTGAAAGAGTGTTTATGCCATGTGATATGTACTTCCGCTACACCAGGCACAAAGGCGGAACGACAGATCTAAAGGTGTGCTTGTTTATAGCATGCTCTAGGCTTAAGAGAAACTCATGCCCAAGGGACAAGATGAAATGCTGCCACTGTTCCAAGTGAAGCTATGAAATGAACCATGCAAATAAGCTTTCATCTCGTGCCAAAAAGAACCTAAAACAAATTAAATTACATTTTACATTTTGAATAAAACAACACAATTGATTTAAATCCCCTTGATCTTCATTATCAGCTTCATATGAAATATTAGGCTATTCAAGGTTCAAATGGTAGCGTGTAGTCTGGCATATACAGTTCATCATATCTGTATAATTTCCATCTTCTTACATACCAAGTGCTCATTGTATGACCTACTTGAGCATCTTTGATACTTCTACTTTGATTGACATCAGATGATCAAATTGGAAATAGTGGAATTACTGTTAATGCTTTCTGCTATCTGATAAACACCCTAACGTAAGTAAATAAGACATGCCTTTGCATTGGTTGATGCCTGGCTTACTAGGTGTTTGACAAATGGACAGAAGGGCCTCAGCTGTTGACTCTGATGAGCTTGGATGTGCCGTTAACAACCATAGATACACCAACAACTATAATTATGAATTATATACTTCCCCTAGAGTTGCATCATAGAAAGATGCGATGTTCTCTCTCTCTCTCACTCACACACACATACACACAGACACACTATTTTATATATAAGATTCATAGCTGTTGAAATCTTTGTGTCGCAGGTCAAACCTTTGAAAGAACTTGCGTTCAATTCTCAAAATATAACAGCAACAATGACATCTCGTCAGTTTCAAGTTATGCTTGATGTTTTAACCAATCTACTCTTTGCCAGGCTTCCTAAGTAAGAATCTCTTTGTTTATCACGTTTTTACTCTTGAAGTTGTATGTTATTTCTTGATAATTTGGGATCAACCTATTTTTTGATATAATGGATTTAAGAATAAAAAATTTATTATATGCTCATATATTACCACCCTCAGTTTTGAATTATTGATTGCAGTTGTTGAGTATATTTTATTGTTTTCTAATATCTAACTTGTGTACAAGGAAAGTGAGATATGACATTGTCGTGAGCGACTCTAAGTGCCAATGCATGTAATTATTTAGTTGAGATTATTGGTCACCTTTAGGAAAAAACCCACTTACTTTTAGGAAACCCCTTATGGAAACCACGTGGAAATCCTTTTACATCCTTGGGGGAAATCAATCTCATGGTTTTTCTGTGTGCTTAGGGGATAACATTTGAAAGAAAAAATTTGGACATCAAACAATAAAAATTTCCCCAGGCCATGCTGGAACTCATCCTACAACGGGAATTCCTTGGATAAAAAGGACTTTGCGTGAAGAATTGGACAATGTGTGATTCCTAGTCCATGGGGAGTTCGTCAACATACATAAACGTGAAAAGTCACACAAGGGTCATGGCTGGTAATGGTATCCTAATACAAGGGGCCAATGGGAAGTCAAGGGAACCTAGAAGCATATTGTCTACCATGAAATGACCCCTACAGTGGTCAAAGAATACAAAAGCAAAGTGACATCTGGCTGTAGTTATTATATATCCCCAGAAACCATGACAAAAAACCACAAATTAGTAAATGATCATCTTAGGATCATGATATGTTATGTTCGAAGAACTAATTCCATGGAATACCCACCTTTTGAGGACCCTTAAATGGCCAAATGTACCCAAAAGGGTTAGCTAGGCTGTTACTACCATATCACAAGGAAATCCCATGACAAACGTGCTAGTCAAGAACGAATGGTTTTTTTGGGTAGCTTGCAACGGCAAAACTATTGTACCATTACATGTGGGATAGCTAGAGTGCTGACTTTTGGATAAGATCAAAGTTGACCATGTGTTTATGAGACAAGGGGACACGTTATTGTGTTGCTACTAGGAAGAGGGAATCAACATTGTAGGTGGCTTTGTCAAAATAACATCTTTATATATCTGCTGGTCCCTCGAGATTATATATACCTATCTAAGCACATAATTTGAGACAAGTCAAAATTCTTAAGGTGATCCAGTTATTGCAGTCTTTGATCTGGATGTTGTCCATAACTCTTTGTAAGAGACATTGTTTTAATTCTCCACTGTTGTCTTCTCCTAAGCCCATTTGTTTTTCCATGGTAGTTTTTTTAACAATGGTAATTCAGTCCTAGTATTTCTCAAGAACAAATAACCTAGATGTTTTTGGATTATTAGGTTCAAATTAAATTAATTTTAATATTCTTCTATAGTTTATGTATTTTTATCTTTTAGAATGACTGAAACAAATATTAAGATGTTTCAAGATAAAAAGTTACCTATTTGACACTCATGAGCCAAATGGGCATTTAATGATTGAGTCGGATGCAGTATAATGTAGTTATCCAACACAAACTTCACTTCCCATCTATGAGGTAATTCAATCAATTATGATTTTTAAGCTGCAAACATCCATTAATGGAGCATACTCAGAAGCTAAAAAAATTTATGATGGATTACTAAGCGAACCAATGTTAGAGAAGATGAAACTATGACCAGTTTTACCTGAGGGGATGGATTTTTGTTGAGACTTACTAGTTAAGAATCTTTAGATGGACTGCAGGCAATGTGTTGATAAGCTGCAAGATATGTAGCTCAACCATTCTCTTGTACTCCAGCCATTTGACTGAAGTTTGTAATTCAGGCCACGGAGAAGTAGTCTTCCCAAATCAGCAGAAGATGATGACGACATTGAGGAAGAAGCAGATGAGGTGGTTCCTGATGGTGTTGAAGAGGTAGAGCTAGAAAGAGTCAACCTTGAACAGAAAGAGCGGGCACGAAACTTGCTTTTTGATGATATCCGGAAGCTCTCTCTATTTACTGATGCCTCTGGAGATGTGTATTCAGAGAAGGAAGGGAATCCTTGGATGATAACCTGTGGAAGATCTACATTGGTAAGATGCAAGTGTTTTCAACTAACTATTTTGGTATGCCTGGCAATGCTATGATTGTCTCGTACTCATTGAGTGTTCCAATATATCGGAATGTAGGTGGTGCTAATGGTCTTGTTAAACATTGTTTCTTTGTGGCTCCTTAGTAAACTATGTACAGTATAGGTTTGATATTATTTTCCTGTGCCTTATGCATTTGAGGTAAGTTTTTATATAGTGCTTGCATCTAGTTTAAATAAGCAAACCATGTAAAGCCATATTTAACTTTCAGCTTTTGTGGTTTATGTTGCCATATGCTTGAAGTTATAACTTTCAACGCCTCCCCAATCCAAAAATACAAGTGTCTTCATGATGTAAGCTGAATTCATGGAACATTTTGGGTCCTTCAGATGCTGATTATCCTTTTATATATCCCAAGCCCTTGGTATTTCCTGATGCCTTTTATGTTGATTCCTTAAAAATTGTTTTTATTTGAATCATACACTTGGAAAAAGTTGCATTACATGTAGACTTAGATCCATACAACTCTTCTTACAGTACCTCACTGACAGAGCTAGTTTCTAGATCATATGAAGTATGTTGTTAGTTCTCCATTGTTATGTATGTATCTCCTGGTAGTGAAATACAGGTCTGATGTTTTGTGTCAAAAGTCTAAAATATGGGTTCGCATATAAACATGCAACAAAGTTTGTGAGTGTGCATTCTTTTGGTGTGTGCATTCTTTTGGTTTTTGTTATAAATAAGACAACTAGAAGCTTTACATTTGCAGGTGCAAAGATTGAGGAAAGAATTGGTAAATGCACAAAAATCTAGAAAGGTTGCTGCTGCTTCTTTGAGGGTGGCTATGCAGAAAGCTGCACAATTGCGACTTATGGAGAAAGAGAAGAATAAAAGCCCTTCATGTGCTATGCGCATATCCTTGCAAATCAACAAAGTGGTTTGGGGAATGCTTGTGGATGGGAAATCTTTTGCGGAGGCTGAGATAAATGACATGGTAAGTGTTTAAATAATTTTTTTTTGTTATACCATAGGTGGAAGACAGTGTCTCTTACGAGAAGAAGCAGCTTTGTATCCAAACTTGTTGTGGGATACACTTAAATTGAACCCCAAAAGAGGCTACATAATGGTTGCAACCGAAAAGCAAACATAACGAGATGAAACTGTAGGGGTTATGGGACATAAATGGCACCTTTCAAACACTTTCATGTTTAAGGCCAACTCCTTTGGTACATACATCTCATGCAAATCTCTCTTCACTGCCACCGTGTCAAACTTGGCTGGCTTCCGGTTCTCTTAACAATCTCTACCAATAGGTTTTTCAAATGTTTACATTGGAGGTGACCAATCCACTGTTAACAGTGTTGCCTCACTTTTCTTCAATCATGCAGTCCGACTTTTTCTCGCATATCCTTAATTTAGTCCATCCCTCGTATTGCTCACATCTACCACAATATTTACATCCATGCTACACTCATCTTGTTACATGTTGATCTTGGTGGCTCAACATTCTGCCTGGTAAAAATTATCGCAGATATGGCATCTATAGAACTTAAATTCCTGTTCCAATGGGATTTGTTATTAATGCTGTGTTTGGTACATGGGACAAGATGGGACAAAACTCACTATCCCACGTTTGGCACAACATGGGAAAGGGACAACATGGTACAAAAAAGGCTTGATCTTGTTCCACCAAAAATAGGTGGAACAAGATAGGACAAGGATGAGATAAAAACTAAATAGGCGGACACCGGTAGCCACTGCCAACCACCGTCAGCCACCTCCACTACAACAACCTCCACCACCTCATAACCACCGTCGGCCAGCAACCACCACCGCCCGTCGCCACCACCACTACCACCATCGGTTACCTCCACCTCCACCACTACCACTGCCCACCACCATCACTACCTCCACTACATCGGCCACAACTACCTCCTCCACCACTGTCGGCCGACACTACCACCACTATCCACCATCTTCACGACGTCCACAACCACAGGCGTCCACCAACCACCACTAGCCCATGCATTCTTGGATCTCACACCGATAACCTCATCCCCTCTATTTTATTACCATCAGTATCGAGCCTACCTAATTTTTCAGTAAGTTTATTATTTGTTACTAAACTTACTCATAGTTCGGAAATATCATTTTTATGCCCTTCACTAGATGTTGTATGATCAAGAACTAGTCTCTAGTTTTGTCCAAATTGATTTCCGACACTTTAGTCTCTAGTCTTAATCTATGCTCGAGATCCACTTTTATAGTGTCACTGTGTGGCACATAGCTTGATCCCTTCCTAACTCTGGTACAATTATGAATACATCATCCTTATTCTTGTTAATTGAGACCTAGGTATTCTTTATCCATTCACGAGACATCCTCCTTGCCTAGTTGCCTTAGGGGATATACATTAGATAATCCAGTGAGCCATACTACACATGCCTCCCTTCAAACTTGTAGGAATACCATGAGACCCTAGAACTTTATATGCCTCCATATTTCTTAGCTGCTTCCATCATTTTGAACACTACACATATACATCTTCTGTTAGCATCTTTAAAAGAGTCACCAAGTTCTCTTATACACTTATTATCATTTCCATGAACAACTTATCAAAATTCTCTTGATCATCCTCTAACCTTGCATCTTTGACTGTAAGTCTTTGAATCTCATCCTTGATGAATTTATATGACTGATATCCCTAGGTTTCTATTCTTTCACCATGGTGAATGTGTATAATCCCCTTCAATGCATTCAGTGTGACTTATGGAAGTACCTCATGTTAGATAAATTTTGGTGCAGCCATACAACCTGAAGTTGGTGTGCATGAATGACTTGGCTTCACCTGTTTGTATCTCTTGTTAAGTTGTCTATTGCTCAAGACATGCTTTTGTCATGCGACAGTTTTTGTTTATTTAACCTGTCTGTATGCCGCAAAGATATCATCATGCTATTTTGATGCCAAAATTCCAACTTCCAAGATGAGATGAAAATTTTATCCCAGGAAATATTTTCAGAAATGGCTCCATCTTTGTTCAAGCCTTGTTATCCCTTGCAGAATCTTTACATATGTAGCTATTGTCTTAAACTGATTAATGGAACTGTCCTCCTGAATCATATTTCTCTTTTCCATTACTCAAATAGAAAGTGTCTTGATTAAATTCTGGTTCAGATGAACTCTATATGCATTCAAGGAGGTATTTCAGTTTGTTCAATATTTGCAATTTGTTGGACCATAAGATTTGTGCGTGTTAATATTTATAGGTTGCAGGTAAACATGCAGATATGTCAGCCACATCCAGTTTGTAGAGAATGGAATTTAGCATTTAATGTGGAGACTAATCAATGACTTAGATGGAGTTATGCTTTCCTAGTCAGAGCCCACACAACAGTGAAATGGCAATACACATGGAGATATATAGATTCATTTTTTTAATATTGAGACAATCGTTCACTATATGGTGGTTAATGTTATTTTTTTCCTTGAGAAATAGAGCCAGTTTTTAAATGGTTGACAAGTACACCTTCAAAATGTGAGCTACAACTGCTGTGACATTTTTTTTTGATTAACCTGGATATCCAACCCGCTGTGCGAGCCGACTAATCTTAGGGCGACCACCTGCTTTGCAGATAGCCCGGAGTCACCGTATTTGAACCTCCGTGGCCACAAGGGGATTTTTATTCCTCCTTGGATTTGAACCTGGGACCTCCTGGTACTTTTGACCTTTGGAGCCAAGCTCAAACCAATCAGGCACCACCCTTGTGGTTAACTGCTGTGACATTGTATTCCCTAAAAACTCAAGCTAGTCTGACTGTAGTCTTCTATAACAGAATTGATATTATTCATGATTTTTACTTGCCTTTTCTGATATTGTTCATCTTTTTTTTTTTTTTGGTGCTCTTTGGTTGTTGAATGTTTCTCTCTCGTCCTTTTTTTATGGGGCGGGGGGGAGTTCACAGCCATGGACCTTCATTCCTGACAAATCTTATGGAACATCTTGCAGATATATGATTTTAACAGAGATTATAAAGATGTTGGTCTCGCCAGGTTCACAACAAAGTACTTTGTTGTGAGAAATTGCCTGCCTAATGCCAAGTCTGACATGCTTCTGTCAGCATGGAATCCTCCTCCTGAATGGGGAAAGTATGTAAATATTTCTTCTTCTGTAGGATATTTGCATAGGTTTTGAATTCAATCTGTCTGCTTTTGCTCTTCATGCTAAGCTTGGTGATGATTTTATTTATTTTCGGTTTAAAGCAAATTTATGCAAATTATACGACAAATGTATTGCTATTGATGTTCATGATATTCAAGTCTTGATCATGAAAATCCTTCCATTCTTATTGTTCTTGTTAACCAAGATGCTAGTCTCTATTCCCCTTATGACTTCCTCTCGTTTTTGGAGCTCCCTATCTCCATATTCTGTACATGGATTCCAATAACTGTTTCTTGTCATGCATGCTTGAATCTTTCTGGAGAAAAGATAGTTTAGTATGTTAGTTCTACAGTCTGTATAAATACTTATTGAGGTTAATTAGGTTCTTAATATGCTTCATATTCCCCTTAGGTTTCGGCTACGTGAGTGATGTACTCCATACGATTTATGGAAGCACCAGTTTATATCTTCTTTTTTATGCAACAAGGTGTTGGATCCTGTTTCTGAATTGGACTGTTTGAAGCTTTTCAGACCTCCTATAATCACAATCTAACCCTCAACAGCTGCTATAAGACCCTTGATGTCATGTATAGAACCAATTTTAGCTCTGACTGTTCTGTTCTTGTTATTCCTCTTTGCAACTGATACAAATGATTGTATCTATATAATGTGAAAACCGTCTATAAATAGGTACATCAACAGGAAAGATAAATATTAATGGATAAACATGAATAAGATCAGGCTGGGCTAGGACTCTGGATAAACTAGGATTCTTGATGTTGATCATGGGAGGTGTCGCATATAGTTATATGACATGTGAAGATGCAATCAACTTAGATGGAAAGTTCTGACCCTCGAAGTGTCTTGTCAAGACATTGGCAATCTGATTTCTTGTTCTAGTCCAAACTAGTTCAATAGATGCAGGTTTTCCTGTTCTAACAAATGTAGTTACAGTCAACCATAATAAATTTTATGATTCAGGAGGCCGCTTATGATGTTGTCCGGGTATCGAACTCATCTCAATATGCCCTAAAATAGATCCTCAAGTTTTGTTCTCTACATTCTTTTAAGCATTAGAGCAGAGTTCTTTCAGAGGAGAGTTCTGATGGCTGTTTGACTGTTGCTACTTGCCGCTGACCACAACGTTTTGCTCTGTTCTACTTAATAGCCTGTTTATGACCTTGTGGTTCTTATGTATTGTGAAGATCTGTGATATATGTTATATCTTATAAGTGATATGTCTGTATGCTTTGTCTCTCGTTATTAGCAAATTTACTGGAATAAACTGTAGAACATTTAACCTGCCAAAATATAGGGTCGAGGGCTGTGTTAACTAAAAGGGATCTGATGACATCTGTGAGATGTGTAAAAGATAGAAGAAGGGTAGCCTGTGGAATTGAGGCTCTTAAAAAACTTGAAACTAACCAACAGGTGTGAGACTGTTCGCCAATGTAATTCAAAAGTGGTGTTGGAAATCTAATGCGTAACGGACTTGTTTGTAGTGTGAACTCATAAAAGAAGATGCAACCAGAGTTTTAAGTTTGGTGATATTCTTGTATGCTTATTTGCTTTTAGCAAGTTATTGGTGTATGGTCTGGAAAAGTTTCACATGCCAAGTTACTGGGCTGGAGGATTTTGTAAACCAAATGCATCTAATCTTATGTTGGTCCACAGTGCCTCAGTTTATTGTAAATTCCTCACAGCTCTTAGTTATATTTGTATGTTCTGCTTTTAACCTAACACTTACTTTTTGCGGCTGCAGAAAGGTGATGCTTCGAGTAGATGCAAAACAAGGAGCTCCAAAGGATGGCAACTCACCTATTGAATTATTCCAGGTACTAACTCCCACTCGCTGCTGCTCCTCCAGTTTCCAAATGGGGAATAGCCAACTTTCACCGTCTTGATGATTTCTAAAGTTAAAATTGTCGAATGATGATGAAGAAGCTACATGTTAGAGGCAGGGAAGAAAACATGATTTTGCCTATGTTCTATGACATGCTCCTTTGGGGCTTCTGACCACATTCAAGTACTCCTCAAGGTGGTGAAGTCCTTACAATGTTCAAGGATACCTATGCCTGTTACTGTTATAGGAATTTAGGGTTCCTAAGCACTCGTATGATATATATTTTATATATACATAATATGATGTGATGGGCTGGGCTGATGTTTAGGTGTTTCAACACTTAAATAAATTAGCATTTAGCCTAGTGAACTACTAATAGCTATCAAATATTACGAAAATCCTCTAACAAAAATCATCAAGTTCGAGCATGGAGATCAATTATGCTCAACGTGGGACAACAACACTTAACAGAATGTGGAACAAAATTGTTTTCTGGAAATTCATTTAGGCCTACTTGAGAGAGGGGTATATGCACCGGTGGCATTCATAACCACCTTCCCTTGCTCGAGATGGACAATGTTCATATGTGGAATTAACATTATTATGTTTTCATATTAAGACAATTTGTGCAACACAAGTTGGAAAATCTGGTAACACTGGTTTACTTATCCTTTTCTTCCAGGTTAGCTTTTTTTTCTTCTTGGATATAAAATTAGTGGATCTTACTTATACAATAACCCTACTACTTGAGTTGTTGGACTTATTTTTTTAGATTTAGCATGAACTGCAAATATTGATAATAGTAGTGAACAAGAAGTCGATAAAATATTTGTACTCGATCCATTTCATAATTGAAAGCCACTTTTACGAATTTCCATTGATCAAAGATACATGTAGTTTATATTAAATGTTACTCTTTTTCTAATAAAAACAATTTCTCAAAGTGAATTCTAATATTTGGTATCATGGAAGTATTAGTAATAGAAGTATCTAGCATGTAGTAGTTTATATTAAACGTCTCTTATGTGCTGTGTACTAATTAAAACTACTGCTTAATCATTATAGGTGGATATTTACCCTTTAAAAATACATTTGACGGAGACGATGTACAGAATGATGTGGGAGTACTTCTTCCCAGAAGAGGAGCAAGACAGTCAGCGGAGGCAGGTTAGGAGGTCTTCCTTTATCGAGTAGTTCAACCCATATTTTTTCCCCAAACTTTAGAAACCGCAACAATTGAATATATCTTTTTGACAAATAGGAAGTTTGGAAGGTCTCAACTACTGCTGGTTTACGACGGGCAAAAAAAGCCTCCACAGTGAATGAGGCTTCTGCATCAAGCAGTCACTCAACAAAAGAATTAGAGGGATCTTCCAGATCTAACATTTCTGCTCTGCCATTAACATCTGGGAGCAATCATTCCTGCCATGCTGATTCTATTCATGTGAGTTTTTGATGTCCTTTATAATGATAATGTTTCTGCCTAGATAAATTACTTGTCAGGTTTTGCAAATGTGATTCATTTATTAATGTTTTTAACTACAATCAGAATCATTGATAAGACTTGCGTGGTGAAAGTTTCTTACATATGTTGCATGTTCTGTAAATGCATATCACAATTTATCGTTGATTATCATGCAGGCATCAAAGGTGCAGAATGTGAAAACCACAGCACCCGAGTTAGGACGAACTTCTTCTTTTGACCGAACGTGTGAAGAGGCAGTAGCAGAATCTGTTACTAACGAACTTATGCTACAACTCCACTCTTCAGGTATTGCTCCATCAAGGAGTGAACCAGTTGGAAGTCTAGAGCAACAGGATGAGTCAAGTAAAACTAAATCAAAGGACTCAAAAACTGCAAAAGCTGCACGTTCTTCTCAAGAAGAAAAGAAATTAAGCAAACCAACTGACGAGAAAAGGTCCAGGCCAAGGGTAATGAGGGAATTTCATAATATCAAGATTAGTCAGGTTGGTCAGTTATATGAGGGCTTGTTTTTCAAGTGTAGGTAGCATTTCTTACTGTTTAGTGACACATTTTCTTTCATTCTAATGGAACAGGTTGAATTACTAGTGACCTACGAAGGCTCTAGATTTGCTGTAAGCGACCTAAGGTTGCTGATGGATACATTTCACCGTGTAGACTTTACTGGAACTTGGAGGAGGCTGTTCTCAAGAGTCAAGAAACATATAATTTGGGGGGTTCTCAAATCAGTCACAGGAATGCAGGTCAATAACATATGCTCTCATTTTTATTAAATGATTTAACATTAGATTACCCTTGCTTGCCCATCAGCTGATGACTTGCCTTTTTCACACTTGTTGCTTATTTTCTGCAAATCACATTCTTTTCCCTTTCCTTAAAAGCGTTCATGCATTTATGTTTTCAGATTATATGGTAATAGTCCTATAGATCACATCATGAGAAGTGTTCAAAACCTTTCATCACTTTTCATTGGAGAACTTCCACAATCTAATTGAAGAGGCTAGCAGAAAGCTTTGGTTAGGTAGTGGAAGTCACCCTTAGTTTAACTGTGAATTCTTACAACACAACATGGACTCTACTAAAATTTCCTTACCATTATTGATGTTTTTCTCACAGTAGTTCCAATAAACAAGGACAATTATGCGAGTAGCATAAACTAGATAAATATTGCCTGATGTGATCTCTTTACAAGGGGATAAAATATGTTCTATAAAATATTTGACAAATCTACCTGCAGGGTAAAAAGTTCAAAGATAAACTACATGGTCAAGGCAAAGAAACAACCGTGTCTGGTATCCCTACCACCGATCTCAATCTTAGTGACAGTGATGGTGGCCCTACTGGTAGAGAAGATCAGGTTCCAATAACTTGGCCTAAACGACCTGCTGATGGGGCGGGCGATGGATTCGTCACCTCAATCAGGGGCCTATTCCATACTCAGCGGCGGAAGGCTAAGGCCTTTGTGCTCCGGACAATGAGAGGTGAAGGAGAGAATGATCAAATGCCTGGTGATTGGAGCGAAAGTGATAACGAGTATTCTCCTTTTGCCAGACAACTAACCATAACGAAAGCTAGGAAGCTGATAAGACGGCACACGAAAAAGTTTCGCGCAAAGAAAGGTTCGTCTCACCTGTCTCTTTCTATATCTAAAGTCATTTTTCGATTCTTTGAGTTTCATTTACCTTTTTTTCTCCCACGGATCTACATGTTCAACATTGTTTATGCTTCCATATTTTGTTCTGCATTTCAAGCCGGGGTCTTCACGGAAATAACTGCTCTACTCTTCGGTAGGGGTGTAAACGAGCCAAGCCGAGTCAGTAGTAGGTTATTCGAGCTCGGCTTGAAAAAAATATGCCAGGCTTGAGCTGGACTCGAGCTCGAATAACTTTTTCAATGTAGGGATTGAGCTCGAGCTCGATTTTTTTTTTGAGTTGTCGAGCTCGATGCTCGTTTATGGGCTTGTACTCGCGATCATTTAATTTGTTTATTGGCTCGAGGTTTTTAATATTTTTTTGTATTATTCTTGAACATATGAGTATTATATTGGGCTCAAAAAGGTCATATGCTTGAATGGCTCGGCTTGGCTCGAAAAATATAATCGAGCTTTCGAGTGAGCCGAGTCGAACATTTGTTTGATGAAGCTTTACTCGTTAAGTTAAACGAGTTCTATTTTGTATTCGAGATCGACTCGAGATCCATAATTATGAAGCTCGAGCTCGAGTAGCTCGTTTATACCCCTACTCTTCAGGGTAGAGGTCAAGTCTAGGTACATTTTACCCTCCTTGGACCCCACCGCCAGGTAGGATATACGGAGTTTGTTTGGTTTGGTTTATTTTGTTCTCCGCTCTTTGAAAATCTAAAATTTGGTCAAACCAACAGAAATTCATAAATCTGTGATTAACCGGCCTTGTGTTTTAATTGATCAGGCATATCTTCACAGCAGAGAGATTCGTCACTTCCATCGTCACCGATAGAAACGACACCATATGAGAGTAACTCTTCTAGCGGATCCGATCCTTATGAAGACTTCCTCGAATACAAAGCTGCCCAAGAAAAATCACTTCCGTTACCTTGACCATGCTCCAAGATAACACAGAAACGAACATCTATAAATTTTTGCAACGCCTTGCCAACAGTAACGAGGCCACGAGTGATTGGACCCCGGCTCTATCGGTAAGGCTGAGTTTTTGTATGATCAAAAGCAGGTTCAATTCAACAGTTGGTGTAGATATAGAAGGATTATGATTTATGAGAGTTATATATATAGCATGATGTATCCGTCCTGCTTTCGTGCAACCAGAACACGAACATCAGGCTCTGAACCGTCAAGAGTTGGATGGTTGTCCCTGAATCTGATTTGTATATTTGAGATGGAAATAAAGGGGAAGCTTCCCTCGGTTATTACTATTAGTATATATTTTTGAACAAACTTGGGAGGTTATCAAAAGTTTATGGGTCGTATCTGCAGCTGCCCCTGGATACAAATTTGTCTTGGCAAATTGCGTCATTTCGAGCAAGCTAATTCATCAAAATACGCAGGCATCGATCCCCTAACTTACGATACTCCGTATGCATTTTGCCTGTTCCGGTGGTGGTCGAGATCATTGGTTGTTAGTAGAACTTTGGTTACTATTGTGATTGACTACTGCGATTGGAGACTCATTAGGTGCAGTGATGGACAAAAACCGGTTCCGGTCGAAACCGGTTAAGGTATAGTGTAACCAACCGCTTATGGGCCCTCGGTCCCGACCATTAAAAATAATTTATTTATTTTTTAATTTTTTTGATGATATATATTTTTAATACATTGTAAAATTTGTAATTGGGTCGTTCAAATACACTTTAAAAATGCATTTTATTATAATTAAAATTACGTTGTCTTACAAAATTACATTCTAAAATTATTTTAAAATACACTTATTTCATCGATCATCATCGGTATCCCATGTCGGATTGATTTGAAGAGTCCTGTTCTTTTGAATTCTTCTAATAGCCTTTTGATCATCAATGTTGAGTTCCTCATTATTGTCATATTTTGAGTAAGTGTCGTCGGTATCGGTAGTTGGCGACGTGCTTAGTCCCATGACGATTTCATTTTCTTCCAAATTTTCTTACACTGCTTCAATCTCCACTTTTAACGATGTCGTGTGTTGAATTCTATCAATGTTATCCAAATAATCTTTCAAACAGTTGCAACGTTCCACGGACTCCGGGCTTAGTCTTGTCTGACGTATCGAAATGATCCTGCCACTAAGAGAAAAAACTTCGAAGCTACGATACTAGCTTAGATTGTTAGTATATCACGTGCTATGCATGCCAAAACTGAGAATTGAGGTTGATTTTGTTTCAGAAAATCTAAAAGATTAATTTTTTTCAAAATCTTCGACATCATTTGTGAGGCATGCGGCCATAAAGTTAGTATGCACATACATATTTAGTTCACCCAAATCGTTATCAAATCGACTTTTTTTACGTGATTCATTTAACACCTCGTTAGTCATCAACTCTTTCCGACTTTGTCGATGCCACCAGAAGAACTAGAACCCGCAAATCCACAACTTGAAGAGCTTTATTGTTGGTTTCCTTCTTCATAAAAATGTTTATAATGATCAAATAAATCTTGAAAATTACGATTAAACATACGTTTTTGTTCCGTTGAAAAAGAATTATTTGTAGTTGTATCTAAACCAATGGCCATACATATTTGTGTAATTAAAACTTCAACACCGATAACATTTAAATACGGGTTTAACGCCTCAACACAAAGAAAAACAAATGAGATGCTTACAAAATATTTTGACAATTTCTTTTTCATTAAATTCATCAACCTTCCCCAATCGTGATGGTCTTCGTATTGGGCAATCTTACATGCCAAAATATACATTTGGTTTAAAACTAAATGGCTTGTTGGATAATAAATGCCGGATAAAAGTGTTGTCGCATTTTTAAAACCACCTAAAATATCGTACAATCCTTCAACTACGGCCCAATCAAGATTTATAATAGAATTTTGCGGATAATGGTGTCTATAAAATGAAAAAATTATAATTTTTTTTGTTTTATCAAAATTTCAATCATAAAATAAGTCGAATTTTAACGATTGAGCATATCGAACCTCGGTCCCAAAGCTTTGAAACCAACGTCTTCGCAATATTTTCTATATTCCGCATTCATTTTCTTACCCTTTGTGAAAATTTGCCGCAACATAAGTCTAAACTTATCTATTACGGGTTTACAAGTATTTGAACCATCTTGAACGGCTAAGTTATTATGTGTGCACAACAACGTGTATGAAATAATTTACCGTTTAAAATAGGGGTCAAATGACACTTTAATTTTTCCACACATAGATTGCTATTACTAGCATTATCAAATGAAATGCTAATTATTTTAGTAGTTAAATTATAAAATACAAGACATTTTTTAATAATTGAAATTGATGTGCACCCGAATGTGGAGCACCAAATAGCTCAAACGCGATTACAAGTTTGAATAAATGCCACGATGAAGGCTCAATCCAATGTGTTGTTATACATATATAAGAAACCGGAAATCCGTATGGTGCGGTCTATATATCACACGTTAAAGAAACGTTGTTAGACAAAAGAGAAAACATTTGTTGCATTTCACCTCAACACATTTTAATTACATCACGTCTAAGAGTTTGATGACTTACCGGCTTGTATCGTGGTTGTAGTGTTTTTTGGATCAACTTCGTAACATAAGGGTTGTCGAAATGTTCGAAAGGCAACCCGACTTGAATGACACATTGTGTTGTTATTTGGCGGTTCAACTCGGCATCATATGACCATATTTGACCTCAAGTGTCAAGTATCGGTTGGTTTGAATCGCCCCCAGACCTCAACCCCAGATACATTTTTTTGGTGTGCTGCCTTAAAGTAGAATTTCCTTCCGCCGTAAGGAGAGCTTGACACATTTTGCACTATGTCTTTCTTTTCCCGTTTGTGAGGACCACCAAGTTGTATGAATTCCAAATCTCGAACTTTCTTCCATGTTCGGCGAGAACTTGGGCAACTTGTTCGTTTGATGCATCATCTTGTTCGTTTGATGCATCATGTTGTTCACTGGTCATTTTGTATAACAAAGAGAGAAATAAATGAGAACTGTGAAGTGGAAACAAGAAATGAATACGAGTCGAAGTCACATAATATAGCGAGAAACCGAGAATTGTGAACGTTTTGCGAATTGAGAACTTGGTATGTAAACCCCTCAATCAGTACACTTATATATATAGTGTTTAGAAGGCAAAAAATACAAAAAAATGGTCAAAAAACGGCTAGTTTTTTTTTTTTTTGAAAAATAGCGGCTATACTTAAAAAAAAACGACTATATTTTTGAAAAATCGGGCCGGGCCAAGCTGGTCCATAACCGGTCCCGGTCCCGTAAAACCCTCCAAATCATGAACCGATCCTATAACCGGTCTAGTCCAAGGCCTGGCCGTTCTTTTGCCGGTCCCGGTTCCGATCCTCCGACAGTCCCGGGCCAGGCCGAGCCAATTTGACCATCACTAATTAGGTGGATCTAAAGATGCACAAGGCTTTAGGGACTAGGCCTTCCAAGCCCAGCTTTGGTAAGCAAAAACACCTAGGTTTAACCACAAGGGTTGTAGTGTAGTAGTTGAGACCCGGGAGATGTGATGGAATATTTCATTAGTTATTGGCTCAATTCCAGGTGTTCACAACAATTGTGGTCACTGAGTTTATTTGCAATCAAAATTTATTGTGATTAGTCTGGACATAGCCCGAGACACCTTTCCAATAAAAGAACGTGTATGTTTTTCGCGTCGGGTTTTGGGCATGAAAATAGATCTGGATGAGCTTTTTCCATGACAACTTAATTGGGCCTTGAAAAAAATTGGTCTGATCGGGCTCTAAGGCATTACCTGGGTCTAGGCTTGCACTTGTCAAGCGTGGACACTTTTTCGGTTGCTACTCTTCGTTGCAATCAACTGTCCCCAATTAGAGATGCACAAGGCCCAGGCTTTTTATTGGGCTTGAGTGCGGACTCTCAAGTTAGAACTTGATTTTCTAAGCAAAAGAAATGCACGGGGGACTAGTCTTTGGTTGTGAAAACGAGCTTGATTCAAGTCTTAGAGGTTGGGTCGGGCCTTAGAGTGAGCTTTCATATAACGATAAACAATCTAGGTTTTCTCTTGTGTGCATATCTAGTTCTGACGCTACCTCCTCAACGCTTATATAAGGTATTTTAGCATCGAAGGGATACGCCAGGGTAGGACAGTGATGGTCGAAATGTGTATAAAGCGTGCACCTATAATCAAAATGTTATTGGCCCAAATTAGCCGATAACCCCATCTTTCTTTCTGGGACTCAACAAAGTCGAGAAGTGTGATTTTTGAACAATTCCTAACCTACCATCTCTTTTTAAAAAATCCAACTTCGAAAACAGGATTCAGATGTATAATTATCAATTAAAAGAAAATCAGAATTTCCCTTTCCAAAAATTATATATTTTATAATATAATAAAGATCTACCTCAAGTTTCCATTAATAGATTAACTGCCCTTACAACATTTAAATAAATTAACAATTGATATTTTACATATTATTATTTATTTAGAATAAATTCAGATATATTTTAGGCGTAAATCACAGTTTTTTTTTTATAAATAAAGTACAACGACCGTCTTTGTTTTATTATTATTCTATCGAATTAACATCAGATCTTGATCAATGATTTTTTAGAACTGTATTTTCAGACAAAAAAAATGTTTAATTTAGATGAAACTTAAGTCAACCATTTGATTGTTCAACACGCATTTCATTAATTTAAATATGAATTAATTATGAATAAATGATTATACGATATATATTCATAAAGTTATATGTTAATATTGTTGTAATATGAAAAAGATGCATGTAATTGGGAGGGTTGATCCAAATAAACAACTAATTCTTCTCTTTCTTTTCCAAATATAAAAAATAAGTTTTGATTTATAAAAAAACACAGAACATTAACCAAATAAAAGAGTATAGAAATAATCAAATCAAATGTGATTTTACACTAAAATCATACGTAAATTCGCTTGTGATTCATGTAATTTTGGCTGTGACATGATGTTGCGAGCCAAGCTCATCTTTGCATTGATTGTATTTCGTAATCACATGTGATTTGATCCTCTTTTTGTTCTCCTATCTAGATTTTATTTTCACTTCATCATCCTGTATATATGTATATGTAAATGTAATATTTATTTATGGTGAATGTTCAAGTTTCAAGAATAATGGAATGCATTTATTTCATGATTGGCTTCTTTGTCCAATAACTACTTTTATAAATTATTAATTGAGGCTGAGGGTACTCTAATTGGTTGGTAGCAATGAAACATTAAAAATCACCTACAAAGTCAAAGTTTGACACAATTTTAG